CCCTCCCTCCTCCACCTCTCTCCCCCTCTCTACTCCCCCAACCCTAGACTCTATCCTTTCAGCACAAGTCCTCATTTAACACAGTCTCACTCCTGCTCTCAGAAGCCCTAGTACCCACCTAGGTCTCGCCCAATCTGAGGCCCCGCTCTTTCCTGCCAGTGCCCTTCACAGCTGACATACAACACCTCCACAGAAGTAACCCAGCACAGCTCAGCATTTCCCAGATCCCACCAAAAGGGACTGCTTTTCCCCCATTTTTATTTCAATGTGATCTCCTTTCTCACAACCTTAAATATAACAGCCATTAAATGTGCTTGTACTCAGGGGGTGTCAGGGCCTCGGGACTAGGTGACTACTGCCACCTATTGACCCAAATTTGTTTGAGACAGACCTTTAATACACTTCTTACACAGCGACGCTCTGTTATTTCAAAAGCATCAATAGCTTAAACATGCAAAGGCATGGCTCTTGGGGCTTCTCTGAGACCCTCTGAACAATGAGATCAAAGAAATACAAAAGCAAGACTGGGCAGAGAGCCAGATCAATGATGCCTTTCTCCATGCAGAGGCAGAAAAGGAGGCCAAGCCCAAGGAATGAAAAAGCAACTTTCAGTCTCCTCAAGGGTCTGAAGGCAAAGAAGAGCTAGGGACGGACAGAGTTTTTCTCATGGGCTGTTAAAAACCTCGTGCATCACAATATGAATGATGTTACCAATAGAGCAGAAGGCAGTATTTCATTCATATGACACTGTCAAATTAGCCAAATCCTTGGATAAGTCTCAACATGAATCAGAGGTTTACACACCTAATAGATCCCAGGGAGGATGGGGATACTCAGGACTGCTGCTGACTCACACTCAATCCATACCAATCAGAAATGGAGATGGAACAGATAAACTGCGCTATGCGTAAGGGCAGGTCTACACCAGGCAGCTCTATGGATTGGTTTAGCTCTGTACCTTCCACCAACCCAAGGCAAGGAACAAGATGAGAAAGCTTGAACTCTCCATGGTGCTGAAAATGGACATAACTGAGTCACCCTTCCCTCATAAACATGTTTTTCTAATACAGTAGCCATGAAAACTGCTGTGAACTCCTGACAGACAGTTGCCCAAGCCTTCATAAAATCATAACAAAACAAAGCTTCAGAGACAAAAAAGGCCTTGATCAAACCCTCTTCCCACCCCCTCAGATGACAATACTAAGGCTTATCAGTACTGGAGAAAAGATTTTCTCTTTATTTCCAAGTGATTTCCTTTCCCCACTGGATGCTAGAGTACAGCTCCCTCCCTGGGGCAATGGATGCCCCTTACTCAGCTGCTTCCTCACAACTCCCAACCATCATCAGAAACCCCCAGGGAGCCACCAAGCTCTGAGAAGGAAAGGGAAGGGTTCCCCCACCAGTCAAACAGACCTGGGGGGTGGGGGGATGGGGTAGAAAGAATGACAGAGAGAATGGAAAAGCTCTGCAGATGGAGGGGAGAGAGAAATGTGATCCGTGGTATTTGTTGTACTTCCAGGGAGGAAGGATCCTTCACATTTTTAATAATGACAGATTAAATAAATTAAAACAGGGCTTCCCTGGTGGCGCAGTGGTTAAGAATCCACCTGCCAATGCAGGGGACACGGGTTCGAGCCCTGGTCCGGGAAGATCCCACATGCCACAGAGCAACTAAGCCTGTGCGCCACAACTACTGAGCCTGCCCTCTAGAGCCCATGAGCCACAACTACTGAAGCCCAGGCGCCTAGAGCCAGTGCTCCACGAGAAGAGAAGCTACCGCAATGAGAAGCCCACCCACCACAAGCAAGAGTAGCCCCGGCTCACCACAACTAGAGAAAGCCCGCGCACAGCAACGAAGACCCAACACAGCCATAAATAAATAAATAAAATTAATTAATTAAAACAGGTAATAATAAATCCTAAGACTCTCCTTACCATCACATGATAAAACTGAACAAGTGCCCATGAGCACTAACGATATACGTTACTTAGTGAACGTTGGAAGTGATCTGCCGTTAGCACTGCACTGATGAAATCTGACATTCATGTGGTCTGAACAACCAGAGAACTAAATCTGAGTAAGAATAAGGGAAAGAATAGCAAACGACAGCCATAAAGAAACCCTAAAATCTTCTCAGTTGCCCTGCCCTACTACTGTAAAAGTGAGTTTTAAACTACATTCTATGGAGTTCTAAAGGTTCCTAGGAGCTCCTCAGAAATCCTGGGGAAAGTGGGCCATGAGAACTCGAAGCTCCAGGACCCCTCATCCTCGCTTCAACCACAGTAGCCTAGCCTTTGCCTATTTTACAGGTTGAGAATCCACGCAAAACTTTGTCAACAATGGACTCTAAACATTGTTTGATGACTCTGGTGCAAATAATCTCAAGATTACTCATTTTTTATTGGAAACCTCTTTCAAATATCGCCTGTCATCTAGAAGGCCAGGGATAACAAGATTTCCTAAGATTAAAGACTGGATTCAATTAATATAAGGTCCACAAAGGCAGGGATTTTTGTCTGTTCAGTTCACTCCTATAATACAAAAAGGCCAGAATAGTGTCTGGAACTTGTCGTTTCTTTGAAGGCAAGGGCTTGAACAGAAATGGTGCAGTAAAGAGGGGAGAGCTACAGGTCATAAACTACCTACCAATACATTTTCAAAGGAAAAAAAAAGGAAAAACAAAATCCTGAAGACGTTCATGAACCCCAGGACACTTGGCAGTCCTCCATCCTCTGTGTTCCCCCAAGCACTGGTTCTCTAACTCATTAGTCGTATAACCTTGGGCAAATAAATAACCTAAGTTTCTCAGTTTCCTCATTAGTAAAATAGAGATAACATATATTTTGCAAGGATTAAGTATAAAGCACTTAGCTCAGGATGTAACACAAAGTTAAGATCTTTTTTAAAAAAAGAGCATCTCCTTTTCCTTGGCAGTTCCCACAATCCAAAAATCCTTAATAAATTAGATGCAAATGCAATAGCTAGTCCTAAAAAGAGAATGTAGTAGTCCTAACCTCTTGTCCAGTTAGTTCAGCCAGAAAGGAAAAAGAATCTCTAAATATGTTCTTGAGGCTCTTTGCTTAGATTCACTCAAGGAGATGGAAGTATGAGGGCTCTGGGCACATCAGGGTCACTCAGATCTGCCAGGGACTAAGTCAGAGGCCCCAGGAGTAAGCGCATCTTGGTTACCATCCATGAGAAACAGCTCTAGGCTCTCTGGTTTGGAGGAAATCTCAGAGACTCAGTCTAATACATTTATTTTTCAGCTGAGGAAAATTAAAGGCCAGAGATGTCACATGATTTGCCCAGGATCACAGAGTTAACAGAAGACAGTACTGGGTTGTCTCTCTTAACTACTTTCTACCAAGCTACAGCTGACTGAAAACAGACCCCCCACCCCAACTGGGCAGACCGGTATAAGTACAAATTCATAGGACTTATAATCAACTAGGTTTTACTGATGTAATGATCTAAATTATATCCCTCTCCATGACACATCATTAACTCCAATGAATTACTTCTAGACTCAACTCTCTTCCCGTCCCTCTTTCCACCTTCTACATTATCCAAGGCCAGAGGGATCTCTCACTAACAGAAGTCATTCTCTGAACAGAATACAAGATCTCAGATATGTAACTCCCACCAGTCTCCTGACTTGGGCTGATATGACTGAGGGGTTTTCATTCTCTTGGTCTTCAGGAATTTTCTGTCTGCCTGCTTGTTGGCATTCTTTCACAAGCTCTTTGTAAAAGGGCTGGTGTTTGCTCACTGGTAAACTGAAGACTTTGTTGAAAGAGGGTCAAAAAGGCTGAAAAACACAAGACTATACTGATTCTTCACACTCCTCTCATTCCCTCTACTGTTCTCTCCAGATAAACTCTCAACTTTCAATAACTGACCTAAGATCAGCCCTACGTCCATGCTATTTTAGAAAGAAAGGAAAAACTTTCAGAGAAGTGGAGACAAGAATAACTCTTGGTAATGAGAAAAGGTTCTATCTAGCTTTTGATTATAGTCAAGCACCAAAGGAGGTTTCCTAAGCCACTAATGCCACCTGGTGGCCAGCAAGATACATTAATAAATCTTAAAATCCATATATTTCAGATGATCTGCATTATAATTATAATAAATTATACAGGAACTTGGGGCAACGTGGGGTTGAAAGAGTGGATTATACTACTCTAATCTCTCAATATTTTTTGATTAAATAACCAATTTTTAGTTTCTGGTGAAAATGTATTATCAAAGAAAACCATATAAAGCCAAACTTTCTTATTCCCCCCAAAACCTCATCCTTCCCTTTTCCATCAACCTCTCACCAAAAATACCCCATACCCAGTGATTCCAGTCATATAATACATGTGCAAAAGGGGCTTCAATTCGTAAGTAAAATCAATTTTATTAATAAAGATCTTTCCACATGTCCAGAGCAAATAATTAATGAATTCCGAGGAAAAAACCTACATACAGTGAAATTAGAAGTATCCCAGGATGACAAAAAATAAATTAAATATGTACACCCATAATCACCGCCGCCTCCGAAAACCTGAAAGGAAGGGAAACCAAGAATGAGGCAAAGGACAGTTGGGAAAAGCCAAAGGGACAGAAAAAAAGGACATCTAGAGAGAAGGGCTCGATAGGAGTGGGTTCCCTCAGCAATACTCTCTATATCCTCCCAGGACAAAAGACTAGAAGCAGGATAGAAACTGAAATGGGATAATGGTTCCTTCAAGTGACACTTTCATAGTTTACTTAAGGAAACCTGAACAGGAACTGTGGGGCCTTCAGAAATAGAATCCAGAAATCTCTTTTGTGAATGATGCTGATTTTCATCTTGGGAAAGAAAAAAATAAATGCCCACCTCTAAAGAGATTAACACCCAGTATGGAAGAGATACTATAAAGGTTGGTAAAACCTAGGATGGCAGATCCGGAGCTGGCATCCCAATTCGTAAACCCCGTCCTGCACTTGATCACCCAAGTCCTAGTCATTCACTAACCTTTTTTCTTCTGACCTTTCTTAGGTATCTTCTTCCGCTTCTTAGTAGAATTCTGATCCTGGAGACACATGGAGAAGGGAAGGAATGGCGGTGAGCTTCCAAGTTTAGTGTCCCTTCCCAAGTTCCTCACAGTAATAAGCCCACATACATTTAGCTGAAAGCATGAAGGTCACCTCCCATCACTGTATCACTTCCTCACCTCATCAAGATGAGGGGTTCCTCCTGTCAAAGCACTGATGTCACTGAAGTGCGTGAGGGAATGAATTTGTGAGCTCATGACATTTGCTCGTTTTCGCCGTCCTTTCTCCCGCTTACTGACACTTAAACGCACCATCATGCTCTCCTCATAGTTAATCCTGCCAGAGAAACACAGACACCACTTGCAGCATGCTCAGACCATAGAGGCAGAAAGTTGCAGCCAAGAACCTGGGCCCAGATGTTTACTCACCCTACATTCAGACAGTTCTCAAGAAATTTCATAGCAAGTCACTATAGTATTTAGTGAGGTGATACTGTGTGCTCAACACTCAATGCTCAATACTCAATGAAATGTTCTTTGCACTAGAACTTCCCTCCTCCCCAGAGATGAACTCACAGCCCATCCACAGGAATACTTAAACTATATCAGGAAATTCTTTATATTCCAGCTCCATAAACAGAATCATCTACATGAACCTTCTCACTCAAATCTACCAACTGCAGAGATGGACACCTGGGCAAAGTTGATGAGTCTGTGTTCAACTTATAACTGCTTTTCTACTTTTCTTCCCTGAACTTATCTAGCACTCTCCATGCCATTATAAAAACGTGACTTTCTTGCTTTCTGCAGAAAATAAACAGCAGTGATAGTGAAACACAGAACTTTAAAATCCTACTAGGTGGAACTGCATATATTCTCCTCCATGTAGCACTTGCTCAGCCTGAACCCCTGGGGGAAAAAAAAAGACATTTCCCCCGCTAGTTCCTATTCTGTACTTCAAACCGCTAACTCTTAGAAACCGTCACACCAAATTTTGCACTCCACTTTCTAGATAATGTGGGTTCTCTTGGAATTAGACTTAATCATCGTCATTCACAGGACAGGTCTCTACAGCATAGAAAACAATTTCTAACTGCAAGGACTCGGACCTGTGCTGATCCTCCTGGCTCTGTCGAGTAACATGAGGATGCCGAGCATCACGGATTTCCTCCGGAGCATCTGAGTACTGTTCCTTTAGTTCACGAATGACAGAACTGCTCAATGCCCGTCTCTTGGCTCGTTCTAGGCGCTTCTTCTCCCGCTCAGCTTCTGTTTCATCTATGTGATAAAAATCAGCAAGGGTTATCCCAGAACAGAGAAGAGAAACACAATTCATGCTGAGGAAGCAGCCTCCACAGTTCATACCGTAATGCACTGGAACCAAGCGTGGTGGAACATATTTCTTAGCTGTCCCTTTTCCAGATTTCTTCCCTGAAGCCCCAGACTGGCCTTCCTCTGCTTCATCTTCCTCCTCATCCTCAGAGCTCAACTACAAAAGGAACATAACGTCCACAAACTTAGGAAGCGTTAGTCAAACAAGTGATAAGAAAATCCAAAGCTGAAGTACTCTGGGAAGGTGGGAATACAAACAAGAGGGAGAAAGGGGAATCTCACAGTCAACATTCTAAGGCACAAGCTGGGAATCAACGGTAATAAGAGAATCCCAGGAGATCCAGGAGCATTACAAGGCTCATTCAGGCTTAGATTCCTGAGGAAAATCAGGATAATGCTACCTCTTACCTTGCTCATCATATTGCTGGGATGAGGCTTAAAACGGAGTGGGTCACTCTCACCTAAAATAAAAGACCCAAGAGATTTTACAAGATCTGGAACTTTGTGAACGGCCCACACATAACCTTTCAGCTTCCCCCACTTACTGAGGCTGCCTGTCACTGCCGTCTTCACCAGTTTGTCAATTTGATACTTCAGTTTTTGGTCCAAAGGACGAAGCTTTTCCAAAACCTATAATGTGGTTAAATAGGATTACATGTCCTCCTCAAAATTAAGCATACACCAAAAGCCCCTATGTTAAGTTGCCAGATAAAGCACCTAAAATATGCACAAAGTAGAGCAAATGAAGACAAAAATGCTTTTTTTCATTTGGTTTCCTCCCTTAAACATGAGAACACCCACTTAAATGAGAGCTATTGTGTCAGTCCTGGAGTTCAGGACATAGAAACGCAGAACTCTAAGATGACAAACGCCTCATACCGTGCGAATCTCCACCAGTCTCAAAACTGCAGGATGTCCCTGAAGAGACCCTCCTGAGGCTTTGTCCAGAATGAGATGGCTCAGATCCATAAGGTACATTAACAACAGCTGATCTTTCACTTCCAAAAGGCTGAGACCCTGAGTTGAATCAAACAGTAAGACATGCAAATTCAGTTTTAACCACAGAATAAGGAGGAGAGTCTAGGGAGAACAGGATAATTTTTTCCAAGTTCAAACTTTTTCCCATGCAGTTCATATAAGGTATCTGGAGTAGTCTCAAGAAGTGGCTGTACCTAAAATGGCCACAGAGAAAATTATGCTAACACAACAGAAGCACAGCTTAGAGAATTACTGTATGACAATAAGAGCAGGAAAATCAATAAAGTATCCCCCAAAATGACTATAGCAAGGTTTCTCAAACTCAGAGCTACTGACATTTGGGGGACAGGTAATTCTTTGCTGTGGAGCGCTGTCTGGGCACTGAAGGATGTTCCACAGCATCCCTGGCCTCCACCCATTGATGCCATCCCCCAAGCTGTGACAATCAGAAATGTCTCCACACAGTAATGAATTTTAAATTAATTTAACCAAAACAATCACTGATTTTATACAATGGATTTTTACATACAATGGAATTATATGATATAGGTAAAAACAATGACCTGTACATACTGACATGGACTTATCTATGTCGACACACTTTCTACACTGTATAGAAAGTGTGAAAAATGTGGTTCCAATTAAGGGGGGGAGGTGAGAAGTATAATACACACACTTTATATGTATAGAAAAATATCTGAAAGTAACATAATTAGCAACTGCTACCCCTGAGGATCGAGATGAGGAAAAGCAAGAAATGGAGTGCTTGTACTGAAAAAGTGGTTTCCCATCAAGCATATATTACTTTTACAATCAACGAAATAAAAAATGTACCCCAGTGATTATCTCAGAATGGTGATTACACTGATTTTTAATTCTCTTCTTTGTGATTTTATGTATCTCCTAAACTTTCTAAAATTAAAAGTGTATTAGGGGCTTCCCTGGTGGCGCAGTGGTTAAGAATCCGCCTGCTAATGCAGGGGACACAGGTTCGAGCCCTAGTCTGGGAAGATCCCACATGCCGCGGAGCAACTAAGCCCGTGCGCCACAACTACTGAGCCTGAACTCTAGAGCCCGTGAGCCACAACTACTGAAGCCCATGTGCCACAACTACTGAAGCCTGCGCGCCTACAGCCTGTGCTCTGCAACAAGAGAAGCCACTGCGATGAAAAGCCCTTGCACCGCAATGAAGAGTAGCCCCCACTCGCCGCAACTAGAGAAAGCCCGCACGAAGCAACAAAGACCCAATGCAGCCAAAAAATAAATAAAATTTTTTTTTCAAAAAAGTATTATACTTACAGGCAGAAAATCATAAATTATAAGTGTATTCTTTTAAATAAAAAAAGTAACGTGTGTAAGCAGACCTAAGCTATAGTTATTAAAAAAAGTCACCGTGACTGCATAAAATGAAAATGAAAAAGTCCACAGCCCTCGGAAGACCTATTTCAGACAGATTAAATACTCTGCCTAGGATTACATAGTAATAGGAGTACATCTGGGATTCAGACTCAGCCTGACTCCAACACCCAAGCCCTAGGTATCTGTAAACCAACACGCTAAGCTCTTGAGATCAACACTAGCATGCTACAGGAGGATGAGCAAAGGATTTAAAGACAGACAAATTGAGTTCAAGTTTTGAATTAGGCATTTAGCAGTCAAATATTGGGTAAATCATGACCTCTGTCTCCTCATCTATAATATGTACAGTAATTCCTTCCCACCCCCAAAAGTAATTATGAGGCTCAAATAAGATATGAAAGTACTTTGTAGCCTAAAAAGCACCTACTAGAAGTCTTTGATCCTGAAGGTTAATAAATATCTGTTCAGTGAATAAATATATAGTGATCTAAGATACACGTGCACAGCCCATCTCAAAAAGACATTAAAATAGATCAAAGCATGATACCAGAATAAAGATAGCCAAGAATTTGAGAAATAGGCTCTTCTGACATGCTTGGGCATTGTCAAGTTCTAATGGGTTACAAGCGTATGAGAGAAAGACAAAATAAAAAGCGAAGATTAAAAAATGAGAAATAAGAAAAGAACGAAAATGAATGATGCGAAAGAAAAGGCAAAAAGAAGATACATTAAAAATTCGGGGACTTCCCTGGTGGCTCAGTGGTTAAGAATCTGCCTGCCAATGCAGGGGGCACATGGGTTCGACCCCTCATCCAGGAAGATCCCACATGCCGCGGAGCAACTAAGCCTGTGCACCACAACTACTAAGCCTGCATGCCACAACTACCGAAGCCCACACGCTCTAGAGCCCGTGCTCGGCAACAAGAGAAGCCACTGCAGTGAGAAGCCCGCGCACTGCAATGAAGAGTAGCCCCCGCTTGCCCCAATTAGAGAAAGCCCGCACGCAACAATGAAGACCCAACGCAGCCAAAATTAAATTAAAAAATTAAAAAAAAACTCGTGTCTTTTTAAAACACAATCCGCTGTAAATCTCATGCTTAAAAATCCTTCAATGATTTTTATTAACCTACTATGATTTGCATATTTCTGTTGACCTATGGAATGTTTTGCTTAAATGATATCTTAGGACGAAAGCTCAATACATAAAACAGGTAACACCCAAGTTTTCCAGCTCAAGCAGGTATGAGGGATCCAGAGACCATTGTTTTTTTTAAATGATTTTTTGGAAGTGATCCATTTTTAAAGTCTTTATTGAATTTGTTACAATAAACTTCTGTTTTATGTTTTGGTTTTTTGGCCGCGAGGCACGTGGGACCTTAGCTCCCTGACCAGGGATTGAACACATACCCCGTGCATCGGAAGGCGAAGTCTTAACCACTGGACCGCCAGGGAAGTCCCCAGAGACCTCCTTCTATACTGCCCCACACTCAATGGTCCCTGAGAAGGTTCTATAAGACCTTAATTTGAAAACTACCATATTTAATTTTAAGATAGACATCATTTTTATATTTTAACATCTCTGAAGTCAGGATACATCTTTAAATCAATGGTATCTTAGCATTATGTCATAGATTAACAAGCAACATTGTATACTCAATGTAAGTCAGTGATATGTCACCAATTAACAGCATTTTATATTAAATGAAATACAGTTGGCCTACAAGGCTCTTCACACAGAGTGACTACTTTTCTGTCCCCAACACACACACAAAATGTACACCCAAGCACACTACACGACTTACCTCCTTTCCCAGAATATCACCATGCTTTTAGGTCTTTGTGCCTTTGCACATGCTGTTTCTTTCTATCCCTCTGACTCCTATTTATTCCTCACAATCCTGTTACCCCTCTGAGATGCCCCCGCTAATTCCCTCTGCTCCGTGATATTTAATCTTGCTCCTCAGCTCGCACAGCCGCTCATCATGACTGCTACTGCTTATACCTATTGCTTTCACCTGCCTTCTCTACTAGACTTCAGCACAGAAACTGGATCTTGTTCATCTTCAAAGCTCCAGCACTAAGCACATACAAGACACTCAATAAGTCTACGATGGAAAGAATTGTTGAAAACATCAAGTCAAGGGGTGCTTACTCTTCAGTTATGTCCTACCTTCTCTGTAGGATAGGCTTTAGCTTGAACTTTTTTGGTCAGAGCTTGCACCTGTGCAGTGACAGCCATCACCTGAAATTAATCCAAATAAAACCACTAATTAGAATACATCAAAGTTATCTCTGTGAGCTGTGAAGTGCAAAAGCTAAACAATGCCACCTAAAAATTATCTGAAACACTGCCTAAAGTACACCACTATCTTTTCAGTTCTGAGGAAGTATAGGAGAGATGGTTTCTGATACTTCTTCAAAAGGTAGAAAAACCTTTCCACCTCTTCTTAAACCTAAAGAGACCATCTTACCAAACCAGGGGGAGGGGATGGGGGCTGGGACAGTGGTGATGGGGGCATTGTAGCTTTGTACCGGTTGAACTTGCAATGCATAGAACTATATAAACGTATATAAGCTAGGCACCCAAAGGGCAAATCGTGTCACCGTTTTCGGCATCGGTTTCCTCAGCTCTAAGAATAAAGAAAATTGATTCAGATGCTTTCTTTCTGGAATTTTCTGTATTCCTTTGGACGCAGAAATCAATTACTCTGAATTGTAGCCTGAAAAGGTTTTCATTATATCATTTTGCTCTTACTGTTATCTGGTCATTCAAATATGTGCCCCCAAATCACCAAAGTTTAGAGGTGCGGCAAAGTCAAAGCCGATTCGTGACTAATCTATTCCGAAGGGGTGCCATTACTCACCTGGTCCTGGAGGTTTTTCAAAAGTGCTACGGCATTTGGCAGGTCTGACTCCAGCACCTCCTATGGAAGGGAGAGAAAAGAAAAAAACATTCTTTCCTCAGGATTATAAGACGGAACATGTGAGGTGGAAAAGCCCCCTCTCTCCTTCGAACACCCCGGACTTCCTGCCTTCCCACTCCGGTGCACATGCAGCCTCGCCTCAGAGCCCGCCAGCCTCTCAGGTCACTGGAAAGGAGCGGTAACTCCAGCCATGTCTCCCTACTACTGCTTTTGCCCCGCTGTGGCAGGGAGGGCGCCTCCCTGGAGTTATTTCCATCACCACCCTTCCCTCGCCCCAATAATTTGCCTCGAGGCACTGAGGAGAAAACAAACGTCCACAATACCAAGCCGAAGAAGCAAACACACTACACTCACCGGCGCCGCCATCTTCACAAAGCCCGCCCCTTCCGGAACTGTACTTCCTGAGTGCTGACGTTGTCTTTATAGACGAGAGGCCGCCGCCGCTTGCAAACCTAAGCCAATAGGAATAAGGGCTCTCTCACTTCCGCCCCGAACAGGATGTACGAGAGGCGGGGCCGGGTCCAGCCAATGGAATAGAAGAACTGGCTAAATTCGTCAGACTTAGGAGGAGCTTTAACGACGTAAAGATGCTATTGGAAAGAAGCATGTTATTAGTAAATTGAGTAGAATGAGTGGAGCTAAGCCAGTAAAAACTCGGCAACTGATTGATTGACAGGTAGAAAGACCCAATGGAAAAAAGGAGTTAACTGAGCGAACTGAGAACGTATTGGCTCCTGGACGCCGCAGTACCCAGAATCTTTTTCAAGAGGCTTCTCTTGCATTGCCTGAACCCGCCGCTAGGTGACGGGCCTCGGCATCTCTCTCAGAAGGCGGCCACGTTAGGAAGCCGCCATTGCTGGCTGCTGTTCCAAGGCGGGCTGCGCTAGATTCCTCACAGACCCCAAGGCCCTTGTGTGATCGTGGAGAAGTCATTCGTTCTCTGAGCTTTTTTCATCTATAAATAGGAGAGTTGGGCCAGAGAAGCCCAGAGCCAGTTTAGACACGGACAGTAAGGACACTCACGCGCCTCATACGCACCTGGGGGCGCTGCGGAGAGACGCCCCCAGCTGCAGCCCCAACACTTCCTACTAGTTCGGCGACGTGAAGGGAGGGACGTTTAACAAATGAAGCCAGTTCAGATTTACGTGACTTGCCCTGGTCACACAGGCCCCGGCAGAACTTGGTTTAAACCCAGCCTGTGCATATATAGTATTTCGTTATGCTCTGTCTCATCTTTCCCCAATACTTGAAAGTATGTCAGCTCACTCCTGCTCTCACAGGCTGATGAAGTCAGTTGGGTGGGTATTAATTGTTCCTATCGTCTGCCTTGGGAAGTAAGCACTGCAAGGGGAAATGATGGTCTTGAATTTTACCTGCAACTGTCGAGCAGAGCTAGGACTAGCAATCAGATTTCCTGACTTGGAGTGGTCTTCTGGAATTAAACAAGGAATAACTCCCATATCTCGGCAACCAGGGTGGGAAAATCCTGGTTTCTAAATCTTTTGAGGGATTCAGGAAGAAAAAGGCATGGCCTAGGTATCCAGTCCTCATGCCTCTGCCTCAAGCATTTATTTGCTGTTTCAGGCCCAGCATGGAAGCTCAGTGTGCCTTGACAGCCTACTCAGTCCATTAACCAATAGTTTTATACCGTTTATCAGGATTTGTATTATGAAAAGTTTCCATTTCAACATAAATTTGTGACCTATTCAGATCCTCTGCCCATTTTTTAATCAGGTAATTCTTTTGCTATTTAAGTTGTATGAGTTCTTTATATATTTTGGATATCAACTGCTTATCAGATATATGATTTGCATATATTTTCTCCCATTCCGTAGGTTGCCTTTTCATTTTGTCGATGGTTTCCTTTGCTGCGCAGAAGCTTTTTAGCATGATGTAATCCCACTTGTTTATTTTTGTTTTGTTGCCTTTGCTTTTGCTGTCAGATCCAAAAACAATCATTGTCAAGACTGCTGTTAAGGAGCTTACAGCCTATGTTTTCTTCTAGGAGTTTTAAGGTTTCAGGTCTTCCATTCAAGTCTTTAATCCATTTTGAGTTAATTTTGTGTATAGTGTAAGATGGGGTCTAGTTTCATTCTTTTGCATGTAGCTGTTCAGTTTTTGCAACACCATTTATTGAAGAGACTGTTCTTTCCCAATTGCATATTCTTAGCTCCTCTGTAGTAAATTAATTGACCATACATGTGTGGGTTTATTTCTAGGCTCTCTATTTTGTCCCATTGATCTATGTGTTTGTTTTTATGCCAATATGATATTGTTTTGATTACTATAGTTTTGTAATATAGTTTGAAATCATGGACAGAAATAACATTTAACCAACTATCTGGGCACTTCATGACTCAGTCAGGTTTACACATAAAATTAACCATCATGCTATACGTAAAAATACTCATAATCATTGACTCAGAAATCTATTTCTTGGAATTTATTCTGACAAAATCTTTCAAAAAAGAAAAGAAGCCATATATATATATATATATATATATATGTTTACAGAGACATTATTTATAAGTTCAAAAAACTGCAAACGGGTTAGAGAGTGATTGTTAATGGAAGGGGGTTTCTTTTTGAGGTGATGAAAATGTTCTAAAATTAGGTAGTGGTGATGGTTACACAACTCTGAATATACTAAAAACGACTGAATTGTACACTGTAAAAAGGTGAATTTTATGGTATATGAATTGTCTCAATAAAAGTGTTATAAAACTATAAGCAATCTAAATATCAAACAAGTAAATTTTCATATATTATCACAGAAATAGCAAATAGCTCCATTTATTGAGTGCTTACTATATGCGAGGCATTATTCTGAACACTTCACATGTATAAATTCAGTGGTTTTTCAAAGTGTGGTATGGTACTTGATCTAGTAGTATCTGGAATGCAGATTCAGGCACCCCACCCTGTCCTACTGAATCAGAATTTCTGAGGCCAAGGCCTAAGATGCTTTATTTTAATAAGCCTTCCGTGTATTCTGCAACATGGTCAAGTTTGAGTGTCTCTGTTTTAACTTGTTTAATTCTCATAGTAAACCCATAAGATGGGCAATATTGTTTTCTCCATTTTATAGCTAGTAGTAGAACATCTGCCATCGTAAAAATGATAAAATCTAAGATTGCAGAAATCTGGAATTCTAATGGCTAGAACATAAGATTATGTACATATTGTATGTACCCACAGCAGCCCTATATATATACCATATATGTACTTTTGTATGTATGTATATAATAGAAACACACACACACCTTGGAAAGAAGCTGAGAATTGAAAATAGTTAATGTGATTTGGTAGGAGATCTTGGGTGTTATTTCTGTACTTGCATAGTTTCAACAAAGTTTTGTTTGTGTTTCAGGAGCAGCCCTGCTGAATCAAAAAGTACTTTCGTAGAAGAGCCACTGATACTACTACATAAAAAATAGATAACAACAAGGACTTACTGTATAGCACAAGGAATTATACTCAATATTTTGTATTAACCTATAAGGGAAAAGAATTTGAAAAAGAATATAGATAGATAGATAGATAGATAGATAGATAGATACCTGAATCACTGTGCTGTATGCCTGAAACTAACATGACATTGTAAATCAATTATACTTCAATTAAGAAATGCACATTAGAGGAAATTCCTTGGTGGCACAGTGGTTAAGAATCCGCCTGCCAACGCAGGGGACACGGGTTCGAACTCTGGCTCAGGAAGATCCCACATGCCGCGGAGCAACTGCGCCCGTGTGCCACAACTACTGAGCCTGCACTCTAGAGCCTGCGAGCCACAACTACTGAGCCCACGTGCCGCAACTACTGAATCCTGCACACCTAGAGCCCATGCTCTGCAACAGGATAAGCCACCGCAATGAGAAGCCCGTGCACTGCAACAAAGAGTAGCCCCCGCTTGCCGCAACTAGAGAAAGCCCGCGCACAGCAATGAAGACCCAACACAGCCAAAAAATAAAGAAAGGAAAAAGAAAACAAAATTTTTTTTCTAAATGCACATTAGAAAGAATCATCAGAGGATCTCATCCATTCCGTCAACATTTTTGTTAGTTATATATATTGTGGTATTGCTGAATGTTTAATCAGAGCCAGCTAGGCCTTTAAAAACTTGAATTTCCACATTTGAAAATGGGAAAAATATAATTTTGCTACTCAGTTTTGAGAATCCACTGAAGCAAAGTATGTGTAAGTACATTATAAATCATTGTGGACTTCACAAGTTAATGATATTTTTTTATTTTAATTTTTTTTAAATATATTTTATTTTACTTTATTTTTATTTTTGGCTGTGTTGGGTCTTTGTTGCTGCGCGTGGGCTTTTTCTAGTTGTGGTGATCGGGGGCTACTCTTTGTTGCAGTGTGTAGTCTTCTCATTGTGGTGGCTTCCCTTTTTGTGGAGCATGGGCTCTAGGCACGTGAGCTTCAGTAGTTGCAGCATGCAGGCTCAGTAGTTGTGGCACGTGGGCCCTAGAGCCCGCGGGCGTCAGTAGTTGCGGCACGTGGGCTCAGTAGTTGCAGAGTGCAGGCTCAGTAGTTGTGGTGCATGGGCTTAGTTGCTCCGCGGCACATGGGATCTTCCTGGACCAGGGATCAAACCCATATCCCTTTCATTGGCAGGTGGATTCTTAACCACTGCACCACCAGGGAAGTCCCTAATGCTATTTTTAAGTGATTCCTGGATATATTGCTGACAATTTCTCTATTAATAGTGGAATAGTTAAAAAAAAAAAAAAAGAAGAGTCACTGAGCAGTGCCTGGAGGGGCAGGCAGCAAAAGTCCCAATAACTTTAAAGAGGTGGGAAAGCCCAGCCTGGGGTGAGGGTACTGTTAGGAGACCAGTCATATCTGGAGATGGGAGGTTGTGAAGGGCTAAGTTGGGACAATCTGGGGCCAGTTTATGAAGTGTCTTTAAGTGCCAGTCAGGAATTCAGGCTTTGTCTCTGAGACAACATGGAGCCCCGGAAGTTTCTATGAATGACAGATATGTTAGAAGTGGTACTTTAGAAAATTGAGTCTGCCAGTCATTTGGTGAGATGAGCAGATGGAAGACTAGTTAAGGTGCTATTGCAATTATCCAGGCATGAGAAGGGGCCTTGCCTCATGACATTAAAGAGAGAATGGGGAAGAAGGGAGGAGGCGGGACCTTCTGAAGGTGGAATCTACAGATGAATAGAAATGTGGTTGGCTGCCTTTCTCCTGAGCCCCCTCCCCTTTCTCATGTCTAATTCTCAGCTTCTCTGGGTAGTTCCCTTCGTTCCCTACCTGTGACCACAAATCTAGAATCTCCTCTGCAAATGAAACAGAAATGAATCCGAAAATGAATGAATCCAAATGAATGATGAATCCGAAAACTCAGTGTCACTTTTCCCAAGAATGACT